GCTGATCATGATCATTGCTTTGTATTTTAGATACGTTTGTCTGTGGGCCTAGAGGACACTGAGGATTTAATTGAAGATTTGGATCAAGCCTTGAAGAACGCGGTAGGTGGAAAGAATTATCAGGTGTCCTGTATTGGTTGCTCGAGCTACATGTTCACATGGGTAATTACGACCAAGTTAATACACACACAGGTCTTCCATGCTCTGAAAACGTTCACTTGGACGCCAAACTACAAGCACTACATGTAACTTCCCACTGATTTACAAAGCGAACTAATATGAGAATGAAAATATTGCATCCGTTTAAGGTCACTATAATTTGGTGTTTGTGCGTTGTTTCGTACTTATCATAGAGCCTTACGGTCTCGTTTTGGCCAGTTCTTCCTTTAACTAAAATGTTTTTTGAAACAAACGATGAACGAGAACACTTTCAAGAGCCTGGGCGCCCTAACGAACAAAGCCACCAAATTTACCTGTTCTTTGAAGAGGGCACAATTGTACCGAGGTCAAGTTAAGCAGGAAAGATTTTGACTGGAGGAAATAAAATTGCGACTTCAGACATTTCTCCACTGAGTTGGAGGCTCATTTTATGAAACAGTAGTGAGCAATGAAGCCTCATTTAACACCTTTCATGATGTAGAAAACTTAATATTGTTTAATGATTTTCTTTAAAAAAATGATTTTATTGTGTTACTCCTTTCTTGAATGAGTTGATATTGTTACAGGGGTCATTTCTTTTTAAAAACAACCTTGAAAAATATCATCGAGGTTTTTACGTAACCAAGCAACCTCCTTTTTTTCCTGCAGGTGCCAGAATCTCTCCTTTAGCTGGAGAAATAACCTTTTTAATCATGAAAATTAAATGGCAGTGAGGTAAACAAATGATGTTGACTAAGTTTAAATTATGGAAAACCTTTGTTAGGGCTTGTCCTGTAGGTGTGTAGGTCAAAAGAACAGCGGTCATAAACGACGGTGTATATATCCCATGCAACTACACGTGAAGTTTCCTAGAATAGCCATGCCTTGGGGATTGACAAAGTCGGCCGAAACATTGTATTGCACGGCAGAATATTCAGCCACGGTAGCGTATTAATGGTCAGATTAAAAAGAAAAACCTTCTGACTAGCGTAATAAGAAACCACTACATCTTCGTATTGGGCTTATGGGCATTCTGCAATCAAAAATAACGTGTAAACGTTTTATAAATGGAAAATATATTCTGACCTCAAGTATCTGAGTTTGATGCTTCAAACCCTTGAAAAAATCCAAATCCCATGAAAAATGTAAGTCGTTCTGCGCAAGGCATCATGGGAAGAGAGGACACGAGCGTTCTGAAGCGGTGGGGGCATGGGGCTGTAAGGCGATAGATTATAAAAGGAGGATAATTTTGCCAGGAAATGAAGCTGATAAAAAATGTGAAATACAAATCAAGTAAAAAAGATTTTAAAAATGATAGGGATTTTTTTGGGGGCGGCAGTGTACTATACCTATGAAGATCTCTAATTTACTATTTGTTCTAGCAATTCGAGAGCGTAACATTGTAAAAGTGATTTTTTTTACTTGTTTGGTTTTTAGGTTGTGTAATGACTGCCTCTCTGCTTATTTTACTGATTCCTGTATTTACCCGACTGAGATAGACGTATTTATAAATTCAATAAATGAAGTCATGGACAGTCATTTAAGTTGTTCAGTGTATGCGTATTTCTTTTTACGTGGCTCGAACCTAGGAGGTACTTAGTGAAAATAGGTACTTCAGGACTGCATGTGCCCCCAGGTAAATAAAAAACGGAGAGGTTGAAAAAATACTGTGTTTCACCTGCTGTAGAGAAAAGTTGTTACGTTCTCTCCTTGAAAATTAAAAAGTCGACCACTGCTTTTCGTTTACCCTCCAGTGTCAGTCACGTTATGAAGAAGCTGATGTGAGAGGAGGTGAGCGGTGACATTAGCTTTGATTTCCAGCATGAATATTCTTCATGCCTACCGGGATTGACAAAACCTGGGGACATTCGCTTTGAACTAACTACTTGGACGCAGCCAAGCCATAGACTCGGCGAGTATGGGGTTGGGTGCACAAACTTTTGCTGTGACAGTCAAGGTTTTTACGTGGTAGTCAAGTCTTTTATGCTTCTTTTAAAAATAGTTTTGATTTTTAACGGCTATAAACTAGAGTGATCAAATGTTGGCTCATCTTTTTAGCTGTAAGGTATAGAGTAATTTTTGAATTTTTTGAATTTTGCGCGCAGAATGAATGAAGTTATTTCCCCAAACGTTGTGTTCTTAAATCTGTTTCAGAGAAAGTTGCTCCATGTACCAATAGGTGTGAGGTACATATAAATGCTCTCTTTTTCCAATCTTTTGAATTTGCCTCTCAGTACACGAGGTCCCAATTTTTTGTTAAACGTTTTAAGACTTAAAGTCAAGTTGGAAAGATCGGCGTTTTCGAAATCATTCTGTCAATTTTGGGATAGTTTTAGAAAAATGCGAAGTTTTTGAGGATGATACTCTTCACTGCTTGAGTGTGTGAAAAACTCAGAAGACCATTTTACAGTTTCGCGCTGAGTGCCCTGGCCTTTGGATAGGGGCGAGGCTGGAAGAGACCTTGTTTTTTTTTTACAAATCGTCCTGTTTTCACATGCAAATGAGCCTGTTCACGGGCTTGTTTATATGAAAATAACACGATGTGCAGATAAATAGCAGTTAAGTTTGTAACAAAACAAGGTCGCCTCCAGCCTCACATTACTTCAAAAGCCTGGGCACTGGGCACACAACTGTAAGAATAGCCCATTCTTATTTTCCCCTCCTGATAACTCACAAAGGATTGCTGTGACAATTAAGTGCTATCAACTAATGTGATGATAGTTGCTGGTTCTTTAAATTTCTTTGCAACGGTTTAAAGTTTATTAATGAACAAGTAAATGGTTATTTATTATTAATGGAGCTCCGCTCTTAGGCGTGGTAAAATCTATATATTAAGGCTTGTTCATGTTGTTCGCTGCAAGATTTTCTGGCTCACTTCATTTTTCTGTGTTAGCGTCTTTGATTTCTATAAAGGAAAAGGAATCAGTTGCCGTTAGTTCAACACTAAGGTGAAAACTGACGATAAGGCTGAATTGAAGCTATTATTTAATAAAACAGCCAAACCCTTTTTTAATACCGACACTAAGGAGCCCATATGAAGTGACCGTATTTACGGGGTGTTCCGTGGACTATGTCCTCGGAGACACTCAAAAGTCGCTCATTTGTCCCTAAATCCTCTATTAAGATCCCCGGGGGGCTTATTTTTTAAAGCACTTTTGATGGGGGGGGGGGTGCTTAAAAGAGAGGGGGGGCTTATTTAATTTAGCGAAATGTATCAACGGGAGAAAATGATAATGGTAATAATTCTCCACAGAGAACGAGAGCGTAAAGTTGAAAAAGTTCTGCACATGATCGTGAAGTCTGACGTCATGTGGCTGAAGACCAAAAACAACATGAATTACCAGCCTTAATACACCATAACTGATCAGTCCACGGAATAAGGATGGAGGGGAGGGAGGGGGGCTTATTAACTTTCCCCCTCTGAAAAGGGGGTGGGGGGAGTTGCCTCATTTGAGAGGGGGGCTTAATAGAGGATTTACGGTAATCAAAAACAGTTTGTATGTGTAACCAAATGGTGACGAGTGAAATTAGGGAATTATTTCACGCGCGTTTTGTGACATCCTAATAATTTCTCGACCCTTTAGGAGAGGGAAGTTATATGTATTAGGATTTGGACAAAACGCACGTGAAATAATTCTCTTATTTCTCGCAGCATATCATTTGATTACGTATTTAGTAATATCGTAGGTGACGAATTACGATTGCAGTTGTGGATTTTTGACATGTCTATTCTGGTTTTATCGCATCGATCGGAGAACTCCACGCTCTCAAAAGTTTAGAGCTTAACTTTGGCTGAATTTTAGAATTTTCAGAATGTTTCGACAAAATACCTGTTAGAATCTGGCCTTCTTGATGTGTTTTTATGTTTTCCAAAGCGTGCTTTTCATGCCCTGACATCTTCATTCATAAAATTTAAAAACTTCGTCGCCATCTTAGAACTGAGACGTACGGAAGGTTGCCATGGCGATTTTGTAATTTTAAGCATGAAATTACAAATTAGTAATAGCATGATTTGTAGTGATATTTGCCATAAATACCAGGAGTGATATTTCGAAATTGTTCTACGTAATTTCACGAGCCGTTAATCGAGTGAAATTTGAGAGAATTTTGAAATATCATGTACAAATCATGCTATTATTTGTTTATACTACTACCCGCAAAGGTTTTGTAATCTCCACATGAAGGTATTTCAAATTATTAAGCTGAAATACCACTGCTCTAAGCCAATCAAATTGCAGAAATTTCTCATGTAGTAGTATAAACCCTGAAATTTCGCTCCAAAATTAAGGAGTAATTCGTCACCCATGATATTATTTGTATAACACATTTATTGCCAGCTGCGTTAACTGTGACATGCATGCCGTGGAAACTTTTTTATTGTCAAAAAAGTAAGTTGAGAGAGGCCGGATTAGCAAGGTTAACTTTCCAAGAGAATATGTTGATCGGACAAAAGAAAAGTGCCCGTTGTCCACATTAACTCGAGTTCGTAGAGTACAATTTAGACAAAATGTTCGGGATTTCCTAAGGGTTTGATCAAAATGTTAAACGCTAAAAGATTTTTAAAATACATTTAAAAAACATTTAAAAAAGTGAACGACGTTTCGGCTCTACGTTACGCCATTATCAAGTTGAAAAGTAAAAAAGGTCAAGGTGTAAAACGCATATATAAAATTTGAAAAAATACATAAAATATTTGCGGATCCAATGGGTATAATTCCCAAGGTAAGAAACACAATAAAAGAAATAAAAAAATGTACAAAGAAAACTGTCTGTAATAACTGAGGTGTCCGTTTAGTCGGGTTCCACTGTGTATGTCGGTATGTATATATCGGGATTGAAGATTATAGGATACTTACTGACAACTATTTAACACAACAGATGCGGCCTTTACACTGGGACATTCCGTAGATTTTCCTTTCATTTTTATCACATACGTACTTGCAGGTACCTCCGATACCGTGGTATATGTAGCAACCAAGAGGTGGATTATCAACTAGAAATTAATAGCACCACACGATGATCAGACTATTAACCTAACGGTACCAGTTAGACCAGACTCGTACCCAGTCGCTATTCAAGTGTTTCTTGGGGTGAGAGAAGACTGGGGATTAGGTTGAGGCGCGCGCAGGGTCTCATGGGAAGAGAAGAAGGAAAAATAGCCCATGAGACCCTGAGCGCCTCAACCTAATCCCAAGTCTTCTCTCACCCCAAAAAACACTTAAATAGCGACTGGGTACGAGTCTGCTTCTAGACTATAAATAGCATAGAGAGGAGAAGTCGTTAGATCACGTTGCCTTGGTTGTCATGGTTTCTGGGTCTCAACAAACCGTGGTCCCGCTGATATGACAGAAAATAGCGAAAAGGTTAACATGTCTTATTTTCCTATGCATGATCACACTCAGGAACAAAACGGCAGCCCATACTTTTCTTCCATCGTTTGACAATGCAAATGGCCGTCGCTGTCAAGAAAGATTCTTGTGATCCAGAAATTTTGCTACAATGGTAACCTGAGGTCACCCTTCTCCTCTCCATTACTTCTGTTTTTATGTCTAAAAAATAAATATGTTATTGGGGTCGTTATTGCTTTTTGCGCAGAAATAATTTAAGATCGAGATGTCACAAGTAAGAAAAAGATCACATCATGTTCTATTTTTAGGTTGTGTGGGTTATGTCCTCATTTGGAAAAGATGATATTGGCAGACTGAAACTCGTAAGGTGCTCATTGCTTGTCGTAATTTGGTTGGTTACTAAGCCTAAACTCCTGTTACAAAAAAAAAAAATAGTGAACCGTGGGGACGAGGTTGGGCCGCTAAATCGCGCAACATGTACAGATGTTGTTACAAAAAGTAGAACTACTCTCTACTTTCTGCAGCAAATGTTTGCAACCATCAAGAACCTGATTTGTTGCAAGACAGGTTTGAAGGTGGGTGGTAAAACAAGCAACATCGCTATTCAACTCGTTTGCAGTAATTTTGCAAAACAAGTTGCACGTTTTTTTTGGCCGTTTTACCACCGAGTTAAAGGGGCTGTGTCACGGCAGTCCAGTTCATTTTGTTTAATTTTGCCAATTACTCGCCCTCAATCGCTACGGAACTTAAAGTAAGAAGTTACAGGTAAATGACAAAATCAGAGATCCGAGACAAACAAATATGCCTCCTGAGCATTATTTTTGAAGTTGCAAGTAGCAGGGATCAACTTCGAAAAACTGTTAGGCTGAACAGTTTCCAAGAACCCTAATTTCAATCCTTTTCAATCTTCTACAGTTTTGCCCATCCGTGGCATCTGTTGTTTCTGTTATGTTATTTTAACCTTCCTTTGATGTTTTAAGCAGTTATTTTATGTTTCTCTTAATTTAACGGGCACTTTGTAATTTCCTCATTTGGCTGAATTTCGTGACACAGCTCCTTTAAGCCTCGAATATATGACTTTGTACAGCATGATTGAACGTATACCGTGGACTTTTACTTTACGAACTCAACTTACTCGGCTGTTTGAAGCACCATCTAGCACCGGGCATTGTAACTGTTTCATCCCAGCAGCATGCTTTGTTAAGACATTCCTCCTTTGTTATCCCGTAATATCCACATTCCACACGTTCAGAAGGAGCCACGGGACAAAGTCCATCAGGAAGATCTGTATAGATTTTAACATCCGTATACCCTTTATTAACCAGTGATGATTCTTAACAAAATAATAGTACGTATTTATAGTGGAGCTCTCGCGCAACGGAGCACCATGGGCAAGAAAATTCGGTTATCCATGCATCCAAGAAATTTTGGTTCTGAGAAAATGGTTCGTACGTACTTGCGTACGTCCACCCGCTCATGTAAGCGGATATTAAGTGTCTTACCCTACATCCATGTCATGATCAATTAACAGCTGTCAACTGTCATAGAATACCCGCTGACCAGTGTCACATGACCGTATGGCGAGCTCAGGTGCCGACTGTGAGGAGAAATTTTTTTTATAGTTTTCTGCAGACAAGTGAAGGTATTCAAGTGATCGCAGGCTTAGAAAAATTTACTTTTGAAAGACAGTTTGATAAATCTAGAGATTATTTGTGTTTATCTTATTGTATCACGTTGCATTGCATTGTATTCTATACCTATTGTATGGTACTGTAACAAAAGGAACATCTTTGGGTTGCCATTAATGCAGATTTATCTTCAATTGTTTCAAAAGGAAAAAAAACTTTTAACTGGAAAATATTTGCTCCTGGTTACGAAGTCGTCCAATCAATTTTCCTTCCTCAAGGAAATGTTAAGCGTCAGGAGCTCATAACCTTAAGCGTAAGTTTGTGACNATAGAATACCCGCTGACCAGTGTCACATGACCGTATGGCGAGCTCAGGTGCCGACTGTGAGGAGAAATTTTTTTTATAGTTTTCTGCAGACAAGTGAAGGTATTCAAGTGATCGCAGGCTTAGAAAAATTTACTTTTGAAAGACAGTTTGATAAATCTAGAGATTATTTGTGTTTATCTTATTGTATCACGTTGCATTGCATTGTATTCTATACCTATTGTATGGTACTGTAACAAAAGGAACATCTTTGGGTTGCCATTAATGCAGATTTATCTTCAATTGTTTCAAAAGGAAAAAAAACTTTTAACTGGAAAATATTTGCTCCTGGTTACGAAGTCGTCCAATCAATTTTCCTTCCTCAAGGAAATGTTAAGCGTCAGGAGCTCATAACCTTAAGCGTAAGTTTGTGACGTCTTTCGAAAACTTGCGAGTATACAGGCTTTTGAGTCGCAAAAACGCCATCACCAAACTTTTTTACAGGGCCTCTCTTAGCTGCACTGTCACCTAATAAAGCCTTACTCGTGTGTTTTTTAACGTAGCAGTATTTTGCGTCTGGATCGCTTTCATCCCAGCAACAGCCTCTCATCAAGCAGGTTTGTTTATCGATTCCCAGCCATCCACATTCATAACGGTTTTGAGATTGCACGTCACACGTAGGGGCTGCAAGTTACAAAACACAAGATAATTAAAAAATGCAAAGCTGTACCTTACGTTCCATTGATCAGGTTGTTTATTCTCATAACCTTTTCTCTTAAATATGGATCAAGATTGTTAGGAGAAAATTGATGATGGTCACTATTACGGGGACTTGGGAATTGCTTTTTTTTAGGTGGGGGTTAAATGAGCACATCATGTTGCACCACCTTCACGCATAACCAAGGTGGAAACGCAATACATTATTATTTCAAGTATCTTGGCTAAATGAACGGAGCTTAATATGGGTAGAAACTTTCCTTTAGTTAAGAAACCGCCCTTTCAGTACTTTTCCATGAAGCAATTTGGTTTTTTGATATTCGGTACTATTCAAGGATAAAGAAGGTATATTTACAAGTGGGACTACCCGGACCGGGGCACCTGGAAGAAGATTATCCAATCACGACGTTTTTTCGAAAACAAAAGATTCTAAAGTTTTTTTGCAACGGACCAATAACATTCATAAATCTGATAGCTGTTTCCTGAGAGGTCAGGTAAGTTGAAGCAGTTTTAAAGTTTTTAACGGTTGCATAGTTGAACCTTGACAGGAGCCAACAATCATTTTCATCGGTCCGTTTGCAAAAATAAAATCTTTTGTTTTTTTAAAAACGTTGGAGTGGATAATCTTCTTTAAAGTGCCCCGGTTCGAGATAGACCACTAGCCCCTAAGGGGTATGGGCCAATTCGCCTCATGGGATGTTGACCTGTGGCCTTGAGGGCGAAGGGTCTAATTGTTTTTGTTTCACCCTGCTAGTCGCACAAAAAGCAATTATAAAGATAAGAAATACTTGTTAAAAAAATATTTGGGAAAGTAATGGACCAAGCTCGATTGCGCAAAATTTGCATAATAAAAATTCACATAACCGACACGTTTCTGAAACACGTGATAGAAAAGCAAAGCTTGTGAAAATTCTTTGATTCACTCATCCAGATTTGAAGTCGGTGGAAATCCAACCAAAACTGTTCTTAAAAACAACAATAAAAAACTTTACAATAGTGCCATGACCCACAATACTTTCATGAACTGCAAGGACTGAAGCAAAAGTGACTTAGAACTAGAAAATTGTTAACTACCTTTACCCTCGGACGTGACGCAAATTCATACCCCCAGGGGGGATGGACCCCTTCCCCGGAGTTTGAGGGATTTCGAACCGATTTTACGTTTAGCGAAAAGCCTTTGATTTTCTTAACAAGATGAGGTATATGATAAGGGTAGTTGTGCTGCTAGAGGAATGTGACGTCAACAACAATGGTCGCCATCTTGGCTGCCATCTTAGATTTTACCAAGAATTAGAAATCAGGTTAAAACCGCGAGAAATATTAATTTTTTGTACTTTACATGAAAAATAACACATAAATAAGTACTTTGCATGATTTTAGCCACAATATTTTCTTTTATTGTTAAAAAAGTTAAAAAAACATGTATTTTTACCCAAAAATGGCTTGACCACCTACTACTTTTGACGTCATATCTCGTAACCATAGAAACTGATAATCACTTAACTTGTCTCAAAATTTGTGCGAGGGATAAACGAACAGCTACTGAAAACGTCAGGTGATGATGTTTTATCTTCTAGGAAAAAACTCAGAAAAACCTCCTTGTACGTCCCAGGGTTAATACAGTTACACAAGCCTCCAGTTAACTTTTAACGTAAAAATAATAATATCATCTTTCATGCTAATATCCGTACCTTGGGCCATTTTATCTGCGTTTTTGCCTTTTGAAATTTTCTACAGGAGTTTTCTCTTTCTAAAAACAATAATTTCTACGTACTAAGTAAATCCTGAGATCCTCTTGAGATGAGGTCGTATGGCTAGTTTTTAAGAAAAAAGCCTTTTAAGGTCTAGTTTCCAGTCCCCTTTTGGGGTGATCGGTCACTTCAGGGCGGAAAAACGTAATGTGCATGCGTGAACTTTTTTGCCCAGATCCCCTGGCCGGGCTTGAAAAAATGGCGGAATTTCAAAACTTTTTTTGCCTAATAATAAAACGTTTCCACTCTTAACCTGGAAAGAACAAGCAACTTGCCTTCAAAAGTTGCAAGCTGTGGTTATAATCTTCTTATGACTTAATTTTCTCGAAGAATACCTCATAGCAAAACTGACTTCAACGACATTAATTTCCTTGCGTTGTACTGGAAATGTGCATGCGTAGGTCCGATTTTTTTCAAGATGCATTCACAAAATGTGTTCATATAAGGAAGTTCCTGGATATATAAGGTCCGGAGCACCACTGTGGACACAAAATCAACATATCTTTGGACAGTGATTTGCCCCAAAAAATTAACGCTTGCCCACAATGTGTCTCAAGTCACTGAATTTTGTCGCACGCGAGCTGATATTTTAAAACCCTCGCTCGATCGGACACTCGAAGTTTCGCAGATCACTAAAATATAAACAAAATCCTCAATGTAGAAGTTATTGCGTTGACATGTGGGCAGAAAAAAGGCAAACTTTATCTAGTAAAATCTTCCCAAAAATCGGTTTCAAAGCAACTATAGTTTTTTAAACTTGCTCGTTTCGAACAGACATATAAATTTTGCTTTGTGTTGTCAAGTTGAATACGCATAACATCTGTCAAAAACCTACGCGTAAGTAGGATTTCCTTCAAACAAAGTTAAAGTTACATTATTTCAAAACCTTCTTGCTGACAAAGAAGAAATGAATTTTCTGTACGAAAACAACCTACCCAAAGATCTTAAAAGCAAAAGATCAGTTGTAACTTGGCAGCCAAGCCATGATTCACCATTTAGCTACTTTAAGGTTAACTGGTCCATGCGAGAGTCTTCGTTTAAGCAAATTAAACTCAGTCGATCATTACAAAATACAGAAAATTGCACATAAGGGTTTGTTTTGCTCGCCTCAGTCAAATGCTACAGCAATTGTTTACCGGAAAAGAGTCAATTGTTCTGAAGTCACTGCCAGCAGTTGTCGTTCTCTACTTCACAGCGAGTGAAAAGGACAATTTGCCTATTCTTAGAAAGTTATTATTATAAAGAACTTAAACTTTCACAGTGAACTGGAAAACAAAACTATGTAATGAAAAATGAAAAAAACTCTGACTACTATTACTTGAGCAACAGAAAAATGATCCTGAGTAAGCTTGCTGGCCTTCTATTTCCGAGAAAGTTTAATAAGCGCACAAGTTTGTTCACTCTGATGCGTTATAACAGCAATATGGTTCTTTGACGGAAGACAAAGATAAAGCTGGTTCTGCAAAGGTAATAAATCTGGGCGTGTAAAAAAAGTAAGCGTAACTACTAATAACAGAATACAAGCGGGTTTCAGTTCAACTCATAAATTAATCGGATGTGATGCACAATCAGAAAAAATATTCGCCTCTTCAAAAAATGTTGAAAACCTTTTATTCCACCTCAGACTGACGGAATGATCCGTTTTTCCTTTAACATTGGTTGTTCTGAATCCAAAGTAATTTTCAAGCGACGAAAAAAAAGCAAACATGTCAAATAAAAATGCTTTACAGGGAGCAAACGTTCGCACCTCGTGCACTTCACTCAGAACTCCAGCAACAAACAAACACAGTCAACACACAGAAAAGCCCGCCTTGAGCGATAAGGGATACGCAGAAGCTTGCGCAGAACGTTTTTCCGCCCTGAAATCGGTCACTATATATCGCGAAATGCTACGCAATAAACGATTTTTAGAAGGTAAAATGAAAAATTAAATTTGGCGTAAAATATTGTGAGACATTCATTTAACTCTTCCTTCTACATCTCTTGTATAACTGTTTTGAATTTTGTCTTATCTGGAAATAATTCTGTAATAAAAAATGTGACAATATACTGAAAACATTGATCGAAAAAAGGTTATTTGTTTTGAATTGATGGTAACCGTTAAATCGAAACCATGTTAAATGCTTGTAATTTCGTCCAATAAAAAAAAGTTAACTTACAACTAAATATCTTCATTCCATACTCCGTTGCTGTTTAAGTCTTTTCTGGTATGTAATTCTCTAGCAATTTATCTAGAAACTCATTTGAAAGCTCGACAAAACGCGAAGCGGCCGCCATTGTTTTGATCAGTTTTCAAACCCGCCGAATTTCGCCACTCAAGGACTATTACTTATAGCCTCCTAGTTGCTCAGTTAATTAAAATGCAGGATTTGCATGCATTAGTCTACTAGTTGGGTGATACTAGAAAGAGTTAAATCAAATGCTCACAAACTTACGTGGGCCGAGTTTTGAGTTGTAGCAAAAGAGGGCATCTGGATGAGTACTGTCCCAACAACAGCCTTTCTTCTCACATGTTCCTTGATCTATTCCAAACCATCCACATTCATACCGATATTCGGGTTTGATATCGCAGATATCTACTAAGAAATGAAACAAGTTTCTCAAATCAATACACGAAATAAAGATCTCTGTCCCATTCTTAAAAAATTTGAATGGCAATAAGGCCCGTCACCCCGGCCTCTTTGTTGAATGTCTTTGTAAGCTTTTTTAGACCCAACCGTGTCAGCGTCCAAAATGGTCGACAGTCGACATTTAACCGACGTCACCACTAGTTTCCGCGATAAATGACGTCTGAGGGACGATCGAGCCCCGTTAATTCCATAATGATCAAGTGTCACTACCCAGATGTTAGCAGTGTTTTTAATTGGTCGTGCCACGTGGGAAATTTGCTACAACCAATCAGAAGCACTACCTAGATTTGGGAAGTGACTCGTCAGCAGTATGGAGATTTTGCGCTCGTTCCCCAGACGTCATTTCGCGGGAAAACAAACAGTGGTGTCGCGGAATGTCGGCTTTTTTCTTGGGCTGCCTTCAAAAGCAATCACCATCATAGTGAACTGACCAATAGAAACGTCGCATTAAGGGATGCGCACTGCAAATTCACGAATCTAAATCTTCAGAAGAAAGCGTTATCAGCGTAAAGAATGAGAGCAGAGAAAAAAAAAGGGTTTATATTTCTGGCGGTATTCAGTAGATTGCTGTGCGCATGTGATTGGAAGCTGTTGCGCGAGGGGCAATACGTACTGTACCTTCAATACTCGTGACATTAGTTGGGACGGTGGGGATATTTTCTGCGCCCTCAATGTCGGTTTTGGCGAGTTGGCATCACAGAAGCAAAAAAATCAACACTGAGAGGGAAGGAGCACAACTTTTTGTCGGAATTATGTGTACAGCACGGGGTGTCCCAGCTTACTGTGACGAGAATTGGTGCTGGAAAAGTTTGTCACAATACAAAAGCTTAGTTTAACTATAAAGACGACGTTTTCTGATTAGCGGTTTCAAAGACTGCTTACACGGGCGAGGTCGATAGCTACATCGCCCCAAGTATCGCAGTCCAAGACAGTCTTGAAATCTGGATTTTACGCTGTGGATTCCCGATTCCCGGTAAAAAAAGAGGCTGTGGAGTTTAGAACAATAATCACACTGATACCAAAGAAAGAAATAAATGTTCAGGCTTATATAACAAAGCCACGAGTTCTGTTCCAATGTTAATTTCCAACACAACTGAACAATGAAATACAGGACCGTTTCACGGCAAATTGAAAACGTTAAGGCTTGTAGTTTTTTTTACTGTCGTTCTGTTCCGTTCCAGTTGTTCCAGTCGCATAAGTGTTTTATAGATGTTTTTGAAATACTTTCTTCATTAATTGTGACGCACAATAAATGTATTATAAATGTAACTCTACATGTTTGCTTTAATGTGTTTCTCAGATACGTTTAATTTTATTTCGTCGTTCCACAAGATTTTTTTATTC